CTCAAATGCATAAATATGAGGGTGTCGGGGACAGTTACTCGAGTTTTTTCGGATTTCTCTACAGAAATTGTTTTTTCTCCAAATTGAATTGGCTAAAATGCTTCATAAGAATAACTTCTTTGGGTATCAGCATTGGTTTGTGATCCCTTCTATTCGCGGAAATATTTGGCTTGACTAGAATTGCCGGTTTGGGTTTACCTTATAACTCGAGTAAAGACGAAACTCCTTCGTAATTACGTATTTTTATTGATTATTGTTCATTGAACGGGAGTTGGTTGGTTCCCCTTGAAAAGTCAACTAATTTCCGATAAATGACAATGATTACATGCTTTTAATTTAATTTTTCCTTTTACCATTGAAATTTTGTTCTTCATGATGATTTAATTCCAGTCCCCATTAAAACATTATTAACATTTTTCCTTCAAGTTACTTCAAAACATCTTTCAAAATATAACTTACCAGTATGGATTCACTCTTTTAGAATAATTCTACGTTAATTAAATTTAGGAGAAAATATAATAAATTAATCAACATTGTTTAGAAAATAAATTATTATTAACTAACTTTGCAGCAATTGCGCAAGTAGTAGTAACTTGTTTTCGCACTAAATGAATTTAAGATCATACAACATTATATATAATATATATATATATAATATCTTACATATGATAATTATATATATATATATATATATCGGGATTTTTCCAGAGGAAGGGACAGATTTAAAATATTTATTTCTGGGGACTGCATGAGGAAAAAATTCTTTGTTTCGCTCGTAAAAGAAACTTACCTCGTGAAATAAAACATATGCAATATATGTGCCAATAATCTATGATATAAATATACGCAAATATCTATTATAATACCAATTTTTATTAACTTATTTATTTATTTTTTGTATTCATTGACTTACATTACTTTAGTCGGTACGTTTGTATTTACTTATAAAAAAAACCACATCGCAAAAAATCATAATCTGCATAAAAAACTACAAAGTCATAATTATACTGGTTTTTGAATAGAAACTATTAGGAAACGTGAGGCAAAATTATCAGATCACAAAAGTATTTCTCTCGTTGTTATCTTTCTCGTTACATTCAGTGTCACAAAAACTAGTACTTATTTCAGATCACTCAAAAATTTTTCTTTTTGAAAAGGATCCATAATATTTTTCATTAAAATATAAATATATTAAAAGTAACAATATCTTTTTTAAATAATTTTTTCTAAATTTATACATTGAAATATAAAAACAACACCTCTGGTACCGTAGTGCATTCGCTAATATAGTGCACTATTAGCTTCGGTAAGGTATAAAATTAATTCTTATGAAATTAATGGTTTTATTTTTATTATTGTTAGGTTTAGATGGTATTGGAACACATCTTGATAATCATCGTGGAACAGGTAACTCAGATACAGATTAAAAAGATTATTTGATTCAGTTATTGCCACTACTAATTAATAGAATTGAGATTTTCATGTATGTAAGTTAATCTGAATCTGGAGATAGGCATTTAGACCCAAGTATAATTTTATCCTGTTTTTCGATTTAAGGTATCGATGAACTATGAAAAATACTGATTTGGACTACTTGCGAATAAGTATTTTATTTAATTTTTGTTTTTGCAATAACTTTTTGGTTAACTATTAAAAAATTTAATTAAATATTGTTATTTAAAGAAAGCTAATTTAAATGAGGAACCGTCTGAAATAACTTCTTACTCTAGTTTGTGGGCAAAATTTCTATTTTTGAGAATCCAAAAGAAAAGAGTAATTGGCGTTTGTATTATTTGAAACAGAAAATATTTGGTAATTTTTCTGTATTTTCAACTTTGAAATGAAATGTCGAATACTCCCTCTTTTATTAGTCGCAGCTGAATGGTGAATGATGGCATATATTTTTCTTAAATCCTTAAGAAATCCTCCCACTGGACCTCTATTAGAATTCAAGATAACAGGTTCAAGATTAGGAACAGAAATCAGGAATCAGGATCCTTTGAATCTGGACTAGAAATTTAGCTTCTTGAAAGGCGTTTTTAACTGAAACTGATTCGTATCGACGTTACACTGGGAGAAATCTTGGTAAAATGGAATACAGTCAGCACATTCGTCAGGATTTAACTATCTGTTGTTAGAGATTTATAAACTATTTGTATCGGCAAAGACTATATATATTGTTTTATGAGAAACTCATTAATAAATTAATATATATATATATATATACTAATTTCCAATTATATATTATAATTATATATTATATATATATATTATATAGGTTATTTCAGAGGAAGGGACAGATTTAAAATATTTATTGCTAGTGAACAACAATATATAGCAGACGTCACATACAGAGGTTGTTCACACATTTTTTAGACGAGGTATATTTTTTTAGACGAGGTATATCACACATTTTTTAGACGAGGTATATATATTATCACAAAACTAAATTACATAAAATTCTTGTGTTTTAAATGTTCTATTTGACATCCTATATTCTGAACTATCTTTCGACACCGCAATTTCCAGGATAATAATGCCTTTTGAAGTGGCAGAACAGGTATTCTATCCCATTCCTCCAGAGCAGCTTTCCAGAGTCCTCTTAGGGTTTGGATAATGCCCTAAGGACAGCGTTTGGATAATGCAGTTTTTAAAACTGCGAAAGCACAAAAATTCATAGGTGACACATAGGGAGATTTAGTAGGGATGTCAGTGAAGGGTATGGCCTTGATACCAGTATTTTGTTCCATTTCTTTTAGGAAATTTACAGTGGATTTTGCTTTGTGACTGCTAGCTTTTTCCTGATGGAGTCTCACAGATTGATGGCACTGCGGGTAAAGCCATGGTATTTCATTCAGAAACATTGGCGATAAAATATGTTCCTGAAAGTATTTGGAGTTAATCTTGACATTTTTTTGCACTCTCTTTTTTTAACTTGCCATTAAAAAAACAGCAACAATCATGAATACCTTAGAAAAACTGTCTTTCGATTCATTGAACCCTGTTAACCATTCATTGAACCATGTACTTAAGTTTTTGTCTGCCCTTTTATGATAATAAATGGCTCTTTTTTTGCTACAATCATTTAAATACACTCATGCTTCATCTATTGTGACAATTTTTCCTTTTCTTTGGATAAGTGTTTCTCATATAGAAATTCTGCAGCGGTCCTGCGTTGAGCGATACTTTGGAAGAAGACGAAGCACATTGCGTTTTTTCACTTTCCTTAAGAACTTAAATCAACGTTTATCATTTTGTTTACAGTGGACACCGAGCATTTTAATTATTTTGCAACTGTCCTTTGACTACGGGGATTTTCTTTCGACATTAAACAACGTACCTTTGCAATAGTCGAAGATGTCCGTTTTTTTCCTTGGATACTTGTTTGGATTTTTGTTCCACTTGAGGCTCCAATTTGATGTTTTTCTTCCTTTCTTGTTGATGATATTACCTATCGACGCTTTAGATATCACAAAACCATGACTCTCACATCGTTTTTGGATTACGGAGTATGCATTTTCTCTTCGGAAAGAGCGTAAATGTAGCCTTCCCAAAGCACTTTTTGTTTGAATCGTTTGAATAAAAACAAACTTTCAAGCTACAGCGGTAATTTTGATTTTAAAACAAGGACAATTGCAATTACTTCTTTTTCAGCAAACGATTTTTTATTACCGCTTACCAAAATCGTCTAAAAATGTGCGAACAGCCTCTGTAGAAGAAAATTCAAAATTTTGTTTTACGAATTGAACATGAGCACTATCTGTTATGCAATAAACATTAATTGGTAGTTTATTTCTGGTCACACGCGTATTGACTAGACACTGGTATTCAACTCGCTGTAACAATTCGATCTCTAAGGTCTTGAAGATTAGTAGGCAACAGTGATGCATATACGCTGTCCTATATGTACACCCACCGAGAAAAATCTCAAAAGGTAAGGTATGGTGACCTTGGAAGCCACTTAAGACGAACGAAATTATGTTATCCACCTCTTCCAGTCCAATGTCATGGAATTGTGTAATTCAGATACAAATGTACCTCCTGGTGGACGTGAGGCTGAGTACTATCTTGGTTGAAGAAAAAATTATCCTTCTTGTAAACATACGGAAACAGCCATATTATTAGTATGCCCACATATGTAATTCCAGTCATTGTTTCCTCCATAAAAAAAAGAAGGGCATAAGAGATTTTTGACAGTCATGGCACTAAACACAATTCAGGTTTTGACAGTCTATTTCATGTTCGGTGACTACGCCGAGATTTTCAGTCCCCAAAATTCTGATAAGTAACTGTTCTCTTGACCAGAGATATAATGCATCTGGTGGATGAAATTATAACTAGAAAATTAAAATTAATTACAATTAAAAATATGTGATTGTATTAATTGTTATGTTAACTTCAACAAACTAATGCATTTCTCTGGGGACTGCATGAGGTGAAATTCTTTGTTTCGCTCGTGAAACAAAGTCACCTCGTGAAATAAAACATATGCAAATATATACGATAATACCATTTTTTATTCACTTATTTATTTATTCTTTGTATTGATTCAATTACAGTATTATAGTCGGTACGTTTGCATTTACTTATAACTAAAACCACATCTCAAAAACTCATAATCAGCATAAAGAACAGCAAATTCATAATTATACTGGTTTTTGAATAGAAACTATTAGGAAACGTGAGGCAAAATTATCAGATCACAAAAGTATTTTTCTCGTTGATATCGTTCTCGTTACTTTCAAAAACTAGTACTTATTTCAGATCACTCAAATTCCTTTCTTTTTGAAAATGATTCATAATATTTCTCGTTAAAATATAAATATATTTAAAAGTGAACAATATCTTTTTAAAACCATTTATACTAAATTTATAGATTGAAATATAAAAACAACACCTCTGGTGTCGTAGTGCATTTGCTAATATAGAGCACTATTAGTTTTGGTAAGGTATAAAATTAATTCTTATGAAATTAATGGTTTTATTTTTATTATTTTTAGGTGTAGATGGTATTAGAACACATCTTGATAATCATCGTGAAACAGGTAACTCAGATACAAATTAAAAAGATTATTTGATTGAGTTATTGCCACTACTAATTAATAGAATTTAGATTTTCATGTATGTGAGTTAATCTGAAACTGGAGATAGGCATTTATACCCAAGTATAATTTTATCCTGTTATTCGAATTAATCCATAAAATATAGAAAAATACTGATTTGGATTACTTGTGAATAGGTATTTTATTTAATTTTTGTTTTAGTAGTATCTTTTTGGTTAATTATTAAAAAACGTAATTAAATGTTGTTATTTAAAGAAAGTTAATTTAAATGAGGAAGCATCTGAAATATCTTATTCCTCTATTTTTGGGGCAAAATTTCTATTTGTGAGAATCCAAAGGAAAAGAGTAATTGGCGTTTGGATTATCTGAAATAAAAATTATTTGGTAGTTTTTTTTTTTTTTCTTTGTATTGCCATCTTTGAAATGAAATGTCGAGCACTCTATCTTATATAAGGGGGAGCTGAATGGAGGAATGCAGGGGAAGTGCTTGTGCTTCAATTAATTCTAACAATAATTCAGTTAATTTTAGTGTACATATCGTTATGTACCCTAAAATTAACTGAATTATTGTATTATTGTATTATTAATAGGTATCAGCTTGGATGCATCCACCTCATATTTGCATTAAATGGTAGCCATATACACATGATAGAATTATTCATTAGAATTTCCCTCTTAGCGGAATGCATGGCAAAGTTGAGAAAGATTTAATTCCATCATTGGCAGCGCAGCGTAATTAAAAAGATAAGATTCAATTCTTGATTTTCTATTTTTCTTGATTACACGCTGATTTCGAGCTAAAGGTGCTCAGTATAATTTAAAATTTAATTCATAGTTTCATCTCTCCATAGAAATAAATGTTTCGAAGGCTCATGTTAATTAATTAATTCTTGGAAGGTTCATGTTAATCAATTAATCTAGTTTTATGTAACATTAATTAATGGTGAACTAATTACACTGATTACACAAGTTAATATCTCTAGGGTTTAATTTTAGGTAACTTTAATATGAAAAATTTGTTTTCTTTGAGAATCTACGCGAAAGATTTCCCTATACAGAAAAAGTCTTACAAGATTAGTTTTCTGATAAAGTATCTGAATAACTCAACAATTTTTCATGTTCGTAAAACCTGGAATTTCGGGGCAATGTTTTCAACAATAAAATTCATAAATGGGATTTTCTGCATAACGTTAATGCCATATGTGAATAAGTATTAGATATTAATTACGGTACTGAAAGTAACAGAATTTTGCAATCTATGTTAATAACACTGTCATAAATGGTCATAAATGGTAAAAGAGAAAATATTGATATGAAAACGAAGAATGCCGTGTTATAATTGTGGTTATTTCAGGTGTAGGTGGTTATCATATTGACGATGCTGGGTATGGAGTAGGAATAGGTACATAAACATTTCTCATCTATCTTAACAAATATTTTAACTTTTCAAAGAAAGGAGATTTTAATTCGGTTAATGCAAAAATCCAATCCGATAATACACGCGTATTAGCAATTATTCGTATTATCCGTGAAGAATAAAATTCCAGAGAAATGAACCAATAAAAAAGAAGTTAAACATAATCTAAAGCTGCAAAATATTAATAATTTAACTGTTACGTAAAATAATTTAACATGTGTGAAAAAGTCATTCAGTTGTATTTGTTATATTAATTTTAACTTTTTGTAAATCTATATGGAAAACGTCTATTGCTATCTATATAATTTCATTTTTTGGTCTAATTTCATAAACTCCTTTTAGAAATCCTAACTCTTCTTTAAAACGTTTTCGCTATGTCTAGGTTCAGGGCACAGTTTTATGCGTTTTTAGCACATTAACGTAGTCTTGTAAAATGATTAACAAACCATGTATCTCTATTTCATTATTTATACTAACAAAACTTTCTGGGCAAAAGCAGTCTTTATAAAAATGAAAGGGGCTTATTATAAAAATTTGGATTATAATACATTATCATCACTCTTGAAGTTAGATACACTGATAATCCAAAACATCATATCCATCCCCAAATTTTTCAATGAACTCGTCTGGATGACATGAAGGGCACTTGACTAAGTGGTATTTAACTGCTTCTGGAGAAGGGAAGAATTATTCTTGCAATTACTTTTACGACTGATGGGATAGAGGGCAGATTGTAATTGACCGAAGACTCGGAACGAGTATCTTCGAAACTACACGACTGGTAAGTTATTCATGATTTGCACTTGTTAGCATCTAAGCAAAGTCGATAAATGACGGGGAAACAAGGTACAGTAAGAAGCTAGGTCAGCACCTCAGTAGATTGTAGGTGATTGAACTATCATTGAAAACCTAGCTAACTGTTAAGCTTCCTCCCAGTTGTTTGCACAGTTATTCTGTTTGGCAAAGACCTTTACTAATATTTTGGAGTTGCTTCATTACCTTGATTATGTTATCTCTTGGTCGTTTTGTTTCAATTAAAAACTTCTTAAGAGGCAAGATGTTTGTGGTTGTACATCTCTTGTGATTTTGTTCCGAAAGGCCACAATTAAATATATTATGTTCGGAGTCACCCCTTTCTCCTCATACATGAGTGTTTTTGATGCTTCTTTCGAGAAAGTATGTTGGAAAGGGGCCGTGCCCCGTCATATAGTAGTTCAGAAATGGGTTGCTATGCAGTTCTTCTGTGTTGACCTTTGGGATTAAGTCATGTAGTCTTCTCCCTTGACTGTCAGTGTCCCATTCCTTTTGCCGTAAATATTCTCCGATTTTTTCTACTTTATATTTTACTGCAGATTTCGGGCCAGGAACTTTCATATTTCAATGTTCGTGTTTTTGATAGCGTTCTTCACCAGTGCATCTGCTTGATCGTTCCCTAGAATTCTACAGTAGGCTTTGACCCATTCTAATCGGATAAGGGTATCTCGTTTTGAGAATGTGGTATTCAGAATGTCCTGGATTATTGTGTTTTTGCTGCTATGATTTTTAACGCTTCTAGGGCTGATTGGCTATCCGATTTGATAAGAATTTCTTTTAAATTGATCTTTATTGAAGTAAGAATTGCTTTGTGTATGGCTACTAATTCTGCTTAAAATACACTATTGTCTGCCTCCAGTCGACCTTGTCATGTAGCATCCTCTTTTTTTGTTTTGTTTTAAGACTAGTGCTGCTCCAACTTCGTCTTCCATTTTTGACCCGTCCGTGAAAATTATTGGGTGGGTGTTGTCTAAATTTCCGTCGTAGGATACTTGACTTTGATGTTGGAATTCATTACTGGATCCTTTATGTATATTATTTCTGGGATTTCGTAATTGTTTGGGTTAATTTTAATATAATATGTTGTAAGGGGAAACTCGCAATTGCAGAATGAATATTTTTCCAGCCTCTTTTTTGTTTTAATGTGCAAGGGACAGATTCATGCTAGAATATATACAATTTGATTTGAGGTTATGCGGAATGCCTTTGTCTTCTGAAGGAGAAAAGGTCTCTGGATAACAAAGAATATTTGTTTTTTTTCTTTCATTCATTTTGAAGCTCAGATTGCTCCTCCATTAGTTGATGATATTCTGTATTACTCTCCTGTATAGGATTTTCATTATCTGGGGTCTTAAGCAACGACATTGTTCCTGCATCCCACGTAACTTTGTTGCTATTTGCATTCTTTTCTTTTTTTAATCTCTCAAGTGGTTTATCATGTCGGATCTGTTGTCTACTTAGACCTGTGTTGACTCCTAGAAATTTTATTTCCTTGGTGATTTTAATTTTTTACCTTCCTAGGCTGAATATGGAGAATAGTTGCAACAGAATTGTCATCCCATCAGCAGATATAAACTTCTACATCGCATCGGTAGTCAAATTTTCCATGTCGAAATTTCGACATCTCTTTTGCTGTTCTGCTGCTTGTATTTCTTTTGCTCGTACTGAACCAATTGCCTTAAAGCCTTTGTTAGACAAATCTGTCAGCAGATTGTGAGATGAAAAAATTTATCGAAAAATACTTTGTGTTTCTGTGGATTGGCAATAGAAGATAATTGTTCAGAGAAATCTTTTGATCTAAGGGGCAAATTTTCATTTTTCTAAAGACCTAATATAAACAATGAAGCATATGTGGTCATATATCGGAGCTTAAATAAGGGAAATACAGCTGGAGCGAATTGCCATACCATGTGGTGAGAAAAATCATACCCCCTTTCAGTACTCTGCCTCTCCTTTCTACAGAAATAAATGACACACCCTTAATGCCTCTAAAAAGGGCATGTTTATGAGATATGAGCACTGAATGTAATTTAATAAAGAAAAATATGCGTGTGGTGTCACAGATTTTGTATATCGTTACATGCCAATGTTCCGTTTTTGGAACATTGCAATTTTACTCAGTCTTGAGGAAATATTACTTGTTATTATTTGAATTTCTTTTATTAACTCATTAAAGTTATTCTTTGCAAGTATGGTGGGGAAATGTTTGGGTGCATTTGAAGTTTTAGGAATTTTATAGAATTTTTTTCCTCAAGCGCTGTAAAAATCGTAAAAAAAGGCAATTTTTAGAAACTTTTCTGCGTTGAAATATTCGTATTTAAAAAATAAATTTTATATCAAATATCAATCATACCTTCTATAATAAATATAATTTTTCCGAACTGACAGATATGATAGTTTATTTTTAAAAAATATTAAACATGATGTTCGAAAAAAGGAACACTGGCATGTAAAGAATAATCCATTATTAACATATGTACATTAATAATCCATTATTGATGTATGTACATTAATAAGTGTATTAGCAGGAATATGTGTTATTCATAAAAAATAACACATCTGTCTACTAATTTTAAATTTCAATGGAAATCAAATTTTGCATAAATATTTACATAATATAGAACTTTCAGATATAATCTTAGAATTAATGTATGAAATTCAGTCACTATCCTTTACTGGAATAGTGACGTTGTCAAGAACTTACAGATGAAAACGCTTACATAAATCTAAATATTGTTCTTGAAAAAAGGAAATTTTATTTGCCTTGATCTGAAATTTTCATGAGAAATGACTAAACATTTCGCAGCTGCGGAAGTTTCTGGAGAATATACATGTAGCTACGTCACAGAATATATTCTAAAGATCAGTAGGGCGTCAGTGGAAAAATTTCGGTGGGACGTAAGGAAAAAAAATTTAAATTTTTTTTTTTTTTTTTTTTTTTTTTTTTATGTAATTACACATCGTGTCTTTACCCAACCTTTATTTTCGCAACCGTTGCTCATAGATATATACTTTCAGTTATAAAAATGTTTTTAATTACGCAAGAACTCTCATTTTGGCATTTTTTTTTTTTTTGTTTAAACTACAGCTTTGTAAGTTTATGAAATCTCACTTTATATACTTCTCCTATAATTACATTTAGGAAAATTTTGTATTTTAAAAAATAAAACACGAAAATGCTCCACCCATTTTAGAAATATTGGCCGAAATATTTGGTTTTAAAGTCAGAGATCATATTTAGGGGCTGTATAAAAATCGAAGAGCTAAACGTTTCCATATGTGCATAACTAAAAATAAAATATCAGTTTGTCGCCCAATCGGGTTAGTAGAATATATATCTATGCCCGACGTTGCGAAAACGAAGACCGAGAAAAGACTTTTGACATGGTAAGGTCGAGTAAGGACATGCTGTACATAGGACATGTATCCATAGCGAAGTTATGAGTAAAACGTGATTTTTATCGTAGTGTAATTGCTTTATATTTCCTTAATTTAGGTCCAGGTGGCTTTGGAGCGGGTAGTATTTTGATGCCAGGAACAGGTACTCTTTATCTTAACATAAATTTGTTTCACTTTTGGAGTTATCTGCAGAATTGCTCTTTGAAGCATCTATATGAGATATTTATGAATGACAATTATAACGCTCCTGTTATATAAATGATATGTGTGCTATTAACAAAAGTAATATATTTTTTAAGTAAATTTTGTAATTTTAAAGTAAAATTGCGTCTTTTTTTATTGGAAAACTTTGGAAGCATGAACATTTTCTTTTAGTTTGCACTTAAATATGAGCCAGTATGCTTTAGAATTTCCTACGTGATGTCATGCCGTCTTAGAAACATAATCCTAGAATGATTTGCCATAACTGATTAACTTAGGTTTTCTGAGTGTAGAACATAAAAGAAAATTTATGCAGCAACAGTAAAATATAAATATTACACCGAAAGGACTATATTTTCGTAATATTATGATGAACAAAAAACTGACGTGCCAAGTTCGCAAAAATGGTCATATCATTTATCACTGATTCCTTTGGAACTCCATGCCCTATTATAAAAGCTTTATTTTTATTGTTAATATGTGGAGTGGATACGGAAAATTTTTACAAGCCCCCCCCCTAAAGCTAGATGTTGAGAGCAGAAGCTAAGGAAATCACGAAATTGTTGCGAAAGAAAACCATGAATGTTTCTAAAATATCCATCTACAATATATCTATTTACAATATCTGTTTTTAAGTTATCTAAATTAAGAAGCGAATAATTTTAGCCATAGTACATATAATTGATTTTTATCCTGGGAGCAGAAAATACAGCAGTGTTCTTTCTACCATTTCGGTTTAAATATCTTATGTTTTAAGTTATCTAAATTAAGAAGCTAATAATTTTAGCCATAGTAAATAGAATTGATTTTTATCCTGGGAGCAGAAAATACAGCAGTGTTCTTTCTACCATCTTTCGGTTTAATATATCTTATGTTTTTAAGTTATCTAAATTAAGAAGCTAATAATTTTAGCCATAGTAAATAGAATTGATTTTTATCCTAGGAGCAGAAATTACAGCAGTGTTCTTTGTACCATCTTTCGATTTAATATATTATATGTTTGCTTAGTCTGAATTTTAAATAGCAGAGAGCTGAGTTTATAAACGAAACAACACTCAGAAGAAATTTCATAAGTGCTTGCATGAATGAACGTTAGGTATTTCATCTTTTATACCAATAAATTTGAATTTATTGGCATATTTGAAGTTAGAAGCAAACCGCGTAGCTTTGATCCTTTAAAAAGAACAGAACTCAGTTAAATGATATGAAGGAAAATTATGATAGGAATTGAAATGTTCCTTGTTAATTGACCAAATATTGAAATGAAAGGAGGTCTGGAAAATTTCTTAGAGGAGATGTTGTTGATAATGACAGAAAGTGATGCACCAGAAGCAATAAAAGTGGCAGGAAAATAGCAAAAATAAATATTGTTGATAGAGTAATTCATTTATTTTCTACTCCTGCCGCTTTGGGGGAAGGAATTTAATATTCTTGAAGATATTGTTATTTTTTGCGGTTGTTTGTCTGCCATCAACAACATAGCACATAAGAAGCTTTCTAGATGGATATATACAAAGAATAAATCTGCAGGTCTTTAAAATTCAGGGTTATCGCTTCAGATATGTTAAAAAGCAAAGACTAGATAAAAAACATTCACAGCTGCATGAGGCTACTCCTTTAATTTAGAATATTTAGAAACGTTTGAAATTTTTCTCCTTCCCTAAAACTCAAAAATGAAGTTATTTCTAATCCATTTCTGTCAGTCCCAGGCGAAACCTGTTCCAAGCTCCACTTCTATTTATTCCATCAAATACTCCAATCTTCTGAGCATCACTGCATACTTGGGCTGGTATTGCTGGTAATATTTACAACGTTTTAATAAAGCTGAATCGAGCTCCAACGAAACTGAAATCAGCAATGAAGTTTAGGTTAAGTTTCTCATTTTGTTTTCTAGCATAATTCTTTGCTTACTTTTTGTTTATCAGAAAAGAACTTATTGCATACGCAGCTCACCATAGCATTGTATATGAATGCGATAAATTTATTCAAAACACATTATGTAAAGGAAATAAATTATTAAGGGTATAGGCCTTACAAATTTAATTGCTTTCAATTAACTGTTTACAAATTTACCCATGGTTCCTGTTCTTGCAATATTTTATGAGGACCTTTACTACTGATATCAGCACTTTTCTCTGCAGTCAATTAAATTTACTTTTATATAAATTTTAATTAAATGTGTAAATACGATTTCACGTTTGACGTCCTGACATTTAACGGTGTTTTCCGCTTTGTAATAATCATTTAACCGTGGGAATACGAAAGTAAATACTGCAAGCATGTAATCCATGATTATTGTCATTTCAGGTCAAAGCGGTTATGGAACTGGATGCATGTAGTCAGTACGCATGTAGTCAATATGCATGTAGTTTCAGGTAAAAATGGCAAAATGCTATATGCATGTAATCAGTGATTATTATCATTTCAGGTCAAGTCGGTTATGGAGAAGATCCAGCTTGTGCACATGGAAAAGGTACTAGTCTGTCAGAATACATTTTTTATTTATAATTTACTTAATGGAAAAAACTAAAATACATATTCCAGGTATCCATCTACTAAGATAGGTATCCCTTTAAAAGATCTTGACATGTTTTAGTGTAATTCATACATTTCTATCCACTTTCCAAAGTAATCAGTACTGATTCCTTTTCGTTACTATTCTGATAGAGATCTGTGCTTCATGCAAATACTTTTCTACGGAAGGTACGTAATAAAAGCAATAAGCATATATTTGGTTCTTTCTGTAGCTGGTGTCGTATTCTAGGAAAAGCATTTTTGATTACTTAAACATCAATAATTCTTGATTCAAATTTACGAGTAAGGCATGCAAGGGCTATCTGCCTGAAGGGACAGGTGCTATCGTGGAGAAATTTGGAAGAAAACCTTTGAGCGGGTATTAAAAATAATGCATGTAATTTTCATTCAAGTTATATTTATGTATATTTAATTTCGAGTATATGCTAAATTAGTCTAAATAACTTTACTCGAAATATATAGTGAATGCACAGAAATTAAAGATTTGCACATGTCTAAAATAAAAAAATATGAAATATGTATGAGTATTTATGCTTATGCTTGCAAAACGCATATATCTGCTTTTAAGAAAATAAGTAAATATTTATTTAATTAGTTATACATGTATTTGAAATTAAGGATTTATTCATTCATAAACTCCTGTGAAAATTACTGTGACGAAATCTAATTATTAAATGTATCTAAATTTACAATGATTATAAATATTATCTAAATATATATAATATTACCTTAACATTGATTTGCAAACATAAACTGAAATCCTGTTAACAAATACTTTAAAGTTAAGTACATGGAGAATGTTAAGTACATAGAAATGAGCACCAATATTTAACGTATTTCACTAGTAAAATAAAAGGTACTCTAATTTGAAATGGACCAAATAGAGCATTAATTATAAATTGACATATATTTTTCGATTTAAAAGATGCCTCAGAAGCTAAAAAAATCATGTCATATTTGATAAAGTATTTTAGGAAGGAGATCTATAAATAGAAAAGAAACAATGCAGAATTTTAATATTAATAATACAAAAACATTTTATCTTAATTTGTGTGATTCTTAACCGAATAAAATTGAATTACATTAAATTTTTTTCCTAATGTAATTAAAGAAAACTGCTGAAAACATTTCATTCAAATTAAACCTTTCTGAGCAAACTGTTATGTGAAAAGTATAGCATTTAATTTTGTTCAGATTGAAATATTGTTTGAAAATGTATTCTTTTCACATACTTAGGGCTTTGAAATGTTGTAGAAAAAGAAAATATGTACATTTATATGTTTATTTACGACGTAATTAGAAAATATTTACATCCGATTGTGTCAAAACCCATTGATCTTAATGGTAAGTCACTCAATTCTTTGGTCACCACTAAGGGATCGCCAGTACTTCAAAGCACTGTATGGGGAAAACTGGTTAGGGCCTCTTCTTACTTCCTACCTTCATGATATATATATATGCCTTTGTTGCATCATGTCCACTATAGTAGACAAAAGTTTAAATTTGTTTATTCTTCTCTAAATGCCTTAACATATTCCGTTTCTGTGTTTATTCATTCTATATTATTAGAACTTTCAACTGTCGATCATAGATGGCTATATAGCATCACTAAATAAAGCATTGCTATTCGGAAAATGGCTGCTACTTCTGTTTCCAAGTTAGTCCAATTTCTCATAGTAAACATTATATAATATTGTTTACGTTGTCTTATACTGCCATGTTTTTATTCATAATTAGTAATTTTAGACATTTTATTTTAAATGTCAGTTTGAGAAAATTGTGGAGTAGGTAGATAAAGATCTACCGGAAAGAGTGAATTGAAACCCAAATGTACTGCTTATCAAGCCACTGGAAATGTTTATGTTTGGCAAGGAATTTCTAGAACATTTGAAAATTGAATCCAATAGGTACAGGTTACAAAATCGTAGCAAAATGAATTCAATCACAATTGACGAAATGTAATTTGGAGGATCTGTATATACATGTTAGTTGTAGATTTACCATTTAGAAGATGGGAATGATCACTGCAAACAAGGCAGGAAATGATTTCAAATGCAATAACTGTAAATCGTTCGGAAGAGATTTGTATGCATGTATGTATATGCATGCTGTCCACTGTTGTGAAAAACTGTAGCAATTATTTAAAACGAAATTTGAATAAAATTAACTTTTTTTTATTATTACTAAGGTTATTTTAAGTAGGAAAATACAAACATTTTCTTATAACTTCTCTAGATTATTTGTATGCAACAAATGGATATATACAAACAAATATAAAAATAGGTTAAAAATTAGAAAGCAAAAAACTTTAAACCCGTATAGCGCTATAGAGCAGAACTGAAGTGTAATAAACTTACAACATCTAAATTTATTATTAAATTGGAATAAAAGCAAGGAAATTTCTCTATAATATAATAATTGCAACCGTGTATAAGAGGCATAACATAATGTCACAAACAAAAGAAAGAATTCATCGTAAAACAAACTCGAAAAATAAAAATACGAAAGGAAAAATATACAAAATTATACAAATAAAAATTAATCTCCTTCTATTGAATTTTAGCTTCATAAAAGTCGATTAATATGTTTACGAAACATAATAATCGACTTTTATGAAACTTTAATTCATTTTCCCCTGATGAGTTATGAATTGGAGTTTCAATAAAAGGTGATTAATTTTTATTTGCATAATTTTGTAAATTTTCCCTTTCTTATTTTTATCTTTCAAGTTTGTTCTAATATGAATTCTTTCTTTAACTGGATTTGTTTTGACATTGTATTATACATCTTACACACGATCGCAATTATTATATTGCTTTTATTCCAATTTTATAATAAATTTAGATGCTTTAAGTTTATCTATCTATCTATCTATCTATATATATATATATATATATATGTATATATTTATATCTATCTATATATGTCTATCTATTTAATGTTGTATGACCTTAAATAATATTGAACTCAAATGCATAAACACGGGGGTGTCGGGGGACGGTTACTCGAGCATTTTCGAAGTTTACTGCAGAAATTGCTTTTCACTCAAAATTGAATTGGCTAAAATGCTTAATAGGAATAAGTTCTTTGAATATCAGCATTGGTTCATAATTCCTTCTATTCACGGAAATATTTTGGCCTGACTTGAATTGCCGATTTAGCTTAGCCTTATTGCTCGAGTAAAGACGAAACACCTTCGTATTTATTTATTAATTATTGTTCATTGAACGGGAGTTGGTTTGTTCCCCTTGAAAGGTTAAATAATTTCCTATCAATGACAATGATTACATGCATTTAATTTAATTCTTGACTTTAATTTATTCCTTTTACAATTGAAATTTTGTTATTCATCATTTAATTCCAGTCCCCGTTAAAACATTTATAACATTTACTTTCAAGTTACTTCAAAACATCTTTCAAAATATAACTTACTAGTATGGATTCACACTTTTAAGATAATCCTACTATAATTAAACTTAGAAGATATATAATCAATTAATCAATATTATTTAGTAAAAATTATTATCTATCTATATATATATTATATCTATCTATATATATATTAACAATAATTTTGATAGTTTAATTTTTCTTTTCCTTGTTTCTTTTTTGACATTGAAAACTATGCATTGTGTAGAGTTTTAAATAAGTAACGAAAGGCTTCTTTAAGTTTGTAAATTTGCTTGCACAATTTGCTTATTCGAATATAAGGCCTATTAGTTATTCAGTACATATTTTATATCAAGGTTTCAATTTAACTGCTTTTGGATGAAAATCATTAAAAGGTAGTATTGTTTAAATATGCTTTTAATTCATTTTTTGTACCAATGGAGTATAATAAATTTACATTTAGGACGTGTATGGTGTATCTTTTGACAATTTTACATAGGGCATTTTTTCCTCTCTGATATATGAATCCATTCTATGTGTGCATTCACACACCATGAAAATTTTTATGCTCTCAAAAGAAGGGAAATTCGAAGTAAACCATATCCCCGTCTTTATAATACTAATTTCTACATTATAAACATAGATTCAAACATTCAGGATTAGGTGAATAAATTCTATGCGTTGAGATTTAAAAGAGGAAAACACATTCCCCTCCAAAAAGATTTCTTCCCAGCAATGCCATTCCTTACAACGCCTGTAGATTTTCGAAGCATTTCGTTTTTCTTTTCTGTCCATTAGTTCAATCAACATCTGTTTTTCATCTCTTCTGTGGCCTAAAACCAATGAACAAAATTTTAATTCAGGAATCAGATACTGAAACTTACGCAATGAAATTTTGATGAGTATGATAAGCTTTAATAGATTACTTCTCATTTTGGGGAGAAATTAAGGAACCAAGAATTACAGGCAGTCGGAAGCACTGTATTAGAAGAGTGCTCCTGATTTGTCAGTTCTTAGTACCCTTGATCATAGAAAGCACTTGTACATTGTCCTCCACGGTTGCTCCTTTTGTATTTGAGGTCTTGGAGAATTATATGTTTCACGTAGACAGACCGTGCCTGAGAAACAAACTGACGAAACGAGTAGAGAGAAACTAGAAGCGGGTATTGGCAAGTGCTGCCACTTTGTAAAGCATTAAGACCTTTAATTTATCATACATACGAGCTCCCGCACAGCTGATTCTTAGTCCACTGCCCTTCGACAATTCGTACTGATTAATATTAGAATGCCAATTTTAAAAGAAACGCATTTTTTAAATTAATTTTTCTTATACTGTTTTATTAATGTACTTAACTGGTATACTATAAATTACATTAAATTTATAATATATCTTCCACTGATAAATTTTATGTGCTTGCTATGGCTTTTAATGCAATGTGTTGCATAACTCGTACAGTCTAACTTTCCATAAATTTGTATTGCAAGTGTAAAGAGAGATGTTTATTTTTTCATATTAAACATTTTGATTCCTATAATGTTTGAAAAAAGTAACGAAACTGATAGACTAATAAGATACAATACCTTTTCTGTATTTGGTAGATCAGCAATTAAAGTTTTTCTGTATTTAAGTTTTATGGATTTCTAAATCTTTGCACAATCATAAGTTTCATCAGGTTCAAAATACTTGGTACTTTCACTGTAATTATTTAGTTACATTTTGCATTTGTAAAAGCATAGTTTTTGTATTCATTTATACTGTATTTCAGAGCTTTCAATTTATTTTTAACAGTTTATACATAATATAATTTATTTTATTGTTAGCGAAAGATTTTTTTTTGTAATTAATGGTTTGAAATTTGAAGAAATTTTATGAAATCAATTTGAATCCATAATACTAATATAAATGTAAGTAATCAATATTCACTAATTTTAGCTGAAGCTGGTGCTGAAGTCAGTGCGGGATCCGAAGTAGGAGCAGGAATTGTTTCTTCAAATCATATTGGTATTTACTATTGCAATTAACATACCTCTCTATTATAATAACATATCCATTTAGGACGCATAGAAATAGGTAAAATGGTACAGTTAGATTTGGTTTTAGATAACAGATCATACAATTGTTAATGGATTTTATTAATAGGGTGCTCATATAAAAGTTTCCCGATATATGAATCAATAGAAGCCTATCCGTTCAATCAATCGAAATGAAATTTCAGCTATTGTTATTTGAAGATATGTGCAAGAAACTGGATGATTTAAAACCAAAAAAAAAAAAAAAAAAAGTTTCACAGTTGCGGTTACAGTGAAACCTTTCGATATTTTCGAATGGCAACACCACCCTTTTTCCTGCAATTAATTCTCCCTGAACGACACATGTATGGCGAAAATTGCCGGTGTAAAACATTTGCAAAGAAGAGTTTTGTAAAGGACTAATGACATCACAAGGTAGGAGTAACAAAAATATTATTTTATTGGAATTACATCTTATCAACATGTACAGCGTTTCAAGGCATAGTTATCTCCCATAACTTTGCAGTTTCAGGGTCATTGTGATCCTCCGACCTTACTCCGATGGATTTCTGGTTCTGGAGTTATCTGAAATCTAAAGTGTATAGATCAAATCCACGAAATTTGTAAGATTCATTTATGCAAATTAATTTGTATTTGCAATCTGTTCTGTCATTTCGTTCTTTCCGTTTTCCTGCTAGAAAGCCAATTAGCTCGCATGTATTTAAGTGAGAGTTTGAGACTATTTTAGTCAGAATATATTCTGCCTGCTGAAATCCACGTTACTAATTGTTATTCTAAGACAGTGCTCCGCAACCGGTGTGCCGCTGCACACTGGTGTGCCATGAATAGGATATAGGTGTGCCGCAATCAAATACATGTATTTGACATTTTGCAATTTTTTATCATGTATTTAATACACAATGACATTTTTTTTCCTTAATAATGTCTATTTTGAATGTTTTTATATATTTCACTGTTGTGTGGTTGTGTGTGTGATTGTAAGTGTGTCAGCATTTGAATTTTTTCGGCACTTTCTTGATAACTCGGAACTCTTTGGTGGGCCACGAAATTCCAGAAAGATTTTATGTGCGTCGCAGGTGAGAAAAGGTTGCGGAGCACTGTTCTAAGATAAGCATTCTTGTCTGCCAAGTTGCTTTATTGTTGCAGCTGGTGCTGCCACTCAGGTCGAGGTTTAGTCAACTTCCAGGTTTAAACATCTCTGCGCGGCCTTTGGCTAACATGTACTTGGATTTAGTTTCACTTTAAAATTGTAGTTTTGAGTTCACGCCATAAACGCTGGCTGATTTGTAAGCACCAGGTATGCCATTACTTAGTTTTAAATAAAAGGGTTTTATCTTAGACATAACGATACATTGCTTACACGTCTATTCGAGGATTTCCCACAAGTTACATTTCGTTACAGGCACAGTCCCTACAAGTAATTTTCCCTCTCCTCTGTTGTATTGACATTAGTCCTTTACAATGCTGTTCTTCGCAGAAGTTTTACACGAGAAAGTTTCGTCATCCGTGTATCGTTCTAACGCCATTTCTAGTTTCCCAATGCGCTGATGAACTAACACACGAAAAGAGTAGGTGTGGCTTTTAAAAAATTTCGAAATTTGTTCACCATAACTGTAGCCGTGAGATCTCTAATTTTTCAATTCATCACAGTCTCGAGCACATGCCTTCAATAATAAAATCTGAAACCTCATTTCGATTAGCTGAGCGCCTAGACTTCTAAATGTTTATATATTGGGGAAGATTCTTATGACCACATTTTCTAAGAGTATGTATTTTAAGAAATTATTGTTTGTTACGTTATTTATATAGAATACAATCTAATTACTAAAACTTACAAGAGGTATTATGCAAAGGTTATTCTAAGCAATTTATGTTCACTTCATCCAGTTTCCCAAAATGTGCTAAGAATTTCCTCCTTCATTGTTGTTAAATGTACCTTAAATGCACATTTTCATGATTTTGTCCAAGAAAATAAATAGTACTCACGTGATTTTGAAATTCAATCCTAGCACAGCTGTAGAAGTAATTGCTTTAATAAATTATTTTTTTGTTAGAATAATTTCGAGTCATTATTCATATGAATTAAACCATATTACGAATAATTTAATTAAGAATAGGTGTTTCAATGTTCGCACAGATAATAGAGTAGATTTTCCATAAAACACTACTTTATAATTCGGAATTTTGATTATGCAAGAACAGACTATGTCGTTTTATACACGTATATCTCTATCCGCAAAATTACTGAAACTGGTTAAATTGGAATTTCCTTTACTAAATTTACAAGTAATCTTTTATTAAAAACAATCCTTTTTAGGAAATTCCTTTATAAAACCATTTTCTCTGCAGAAAGATGTAAATGAGAAATATTATTGTAATTATTTACTAATTTCTAAATCTAAATAATCTGTTATGCTTGGGTTACAACACATATATTTTTGCATTTATGAAAGCTTTGTTTTCATAGCTTTAAAATTCCTTTATATCATCATGCACTATAAATAACCAATTTAATAGCTAAGCAGCAAATATAATAAGTGTGCGGAAATGTAAATAGGTAGTACATATATATATATATATGTGTGTGTGTGTGGGTGTAAGTATATATATATGTAAGTATATATACACTGCTCCACATTGAAAATGCAATACCAAGAAGGAGTGGTCAGAAATTTATACAAATTTTAGAGTAGACGCATGTCACTGAGTTATACGAATGATGTGCAATGCGCAGCTCTCCGACGTACGTGAAGTAAGATATAAGGGAAGGAACGTGCAGAATGGGCAATATTCGTGTCGTTATTTCTGCCAGACGAATTATCGAAGAAAGTTGGTTTTTGTCTCGGAGAAAACGTGTAATAGGAGAGAATGCCAGGCCGCCGTCAACGAAGGCACTTCCAGCAGATAGACGTTTTTACGAGGGGTATGGTGATCCGACTGAGAAGGGCCGGTTGGTCCTTATGTCAAATCGCAGGTGATATCCACACGGATGCGAGCACGGTGCACCGGCTATGGCGAACATGGTTGGAACAAGAAAATGTGGGAAGAAGGAGGGGTGTTGGTGCAGCCAGAGTGACGTCACCATGCGTGGATCAACGCATCCGCCTACAAGCTGTAGCGGTCCCGCAAGTCACTTGTACCGCGATTCTGCAGCATGTGCAAGATACCATAGATGTTCCCGTGTCGACCAGAACCATTTCCCGTCGATTGGTTGAACGTGGCCTGCACTCACGGCGTCCGTTAAGAAGACTGCCATTGACCCCACAGCATAGACGACAAAGTTAGAATAGTGCCGGACTGCAAGAATGTGGATGACAGAATGGCGAAACATCGTGTTCTCAGATAAGTCACGCTTCTGTTTATCCAGTGACAGTCGCCGCATACGTGTGTGGTGTCGACGTGGAGACAGATCTAATCGGGCAGTAACTGTGGAACGCCCCACAGCGCGACAGCGTGACATAATGGTTTGGGGGCTATTGCCTACGATTCCAGGTCACCTCTAGATCGTATTCAGGGCACTATGACGGCCCAATTATACATGGATAATGCACTGCGGCCAGTGGCATTCCCCTACCTTCAGGGGCTGCCTAATTCAATTGTTCAGTAGGATAACGCCCGACCACACAGTGCTCGCCATCATGCACTGCGAGGTATACAGATACTTTATTTTGATGGACACCGTACTTTCCTGACCTGTCACCAATCGAACATGTGCGGGATGTGATTGGACGCCGTTTGCAGACTCTGCCCCTGCCTCGTTCAGAAGACGAACTGTGGCAAATGGTTGAAAGGGAATGGAGAGCAATCCCTCAGGACACCATCCGCACTCTTATTGACTCTGTGCCTAGACGTGTTTCTTTGTGCATCGCTGTCCGCTGTGGTCCTACATCCTACTGAGCCTACGCTGTTCTCGCTCTGTATTCTGACTATCATTTTGAAATAAAGATCACTTATTGCTGCTTGCTGTATCTGTCTTTTCTTCAAATTTCATCACTTCTGACCACTCCTTCTTGGTGTTGCATTTTCAATGTCGAGCAGTGTATATAGATGTAAGAAAACTATATTTATATATGTAAGAAAAGTAAAGAAAATTTAAAAGATTAAATTAGCAGCGTAAATTAATTTACCTTCTCTGTTATAAAAATAGCAACATCTATTTGCACTGCGTGATTTCTAGAAGACTCTATGTCATATGATTCTTACGTAATTATGATATGTCATATGATTCTTACGTAATTATGATCATGTAAATGGAACTAAAACTCAAATAGCCAATAGTAATTTTACAGCAATATTAACCATCCAATCAAAATGTTTTGAGAACCACAACTAACTCAGTTTGACTTCAGATTTCATCCTGACATAACGCACTTGCTTTCCACGCTTTGGCCTAGCTACGCTGCTGTCCATCTGCTCTGCTTTCTTGCTACAAAATTATCAAAAATGTAAGCCTTTTAGAATAGGCACATTTAATGTGCCGACTTGTGTGTACCGCAACATGTTGCTCAAAATAAAACTGAAGATTTAATCTGCATTCTCCTCCAATTCCTAGTCATTATGGATTATCAACACGCTACACCATCATCTACGCATAAAAATTCCTCCTCCTTCTCCTTGAATTTATTACAACTGAGTCGATATCACACATGTTCTGTGCGTTGGAATCTCCATTGGGAGCTGATATTTTTTCTTAATAAATTGGATATTAAAAAATTTAAGACTTTGATAGGAAAAAATATAATTTAATGATATTAGAAATTTGAATTCTAATAATTTAGTAAAGTAAATAAAGAATTCTTAGATTTTTAATTATCTTCAGGGAAGGCTATTAACGTAAGTTTTTATATTTTTAAAATTTCGTTGAAAATTTTGAATACGAATTTTAAAATTATTTTAAAAATGAAGTAGATGTACAAAAGAAATGAAATTAGTACAGATAAGTAACATGAAATTATGGTAAATGCATGTTAAAATTTATGTGTGATTGTATGTTATGTATAGTGTATGTCGAAGGAGTACTGGGTTCCTAAAACAGAGGCCTGTAATTACTTCTGTACAGTTGTTCCTTTTACCTTCTTGATGTAAGATAATGTTGGAGTCTCTCATTTTTATGAGTGTGTGTCATTTTTTAAAAATATTATTATAATTTTTTATTGTGAAATGTATTAGTGCAGTTCTCAAAGGCCAGTTACCTTATGTAAGGAACCTTACATAAGGTTACATTCTTCAATAAGTTGGCACTTATTGAAGAATAACCGGCGTACACTGTTAGGAACGTATTAAGTACATAATTAACATTTCTTCAGATCCCAGGTTTTAGTGATTTTAAAAAGAACAATTTCATCAAAATATACCTAAAATATTAGAATTGATATTTGTCCATTTTAGGTGCAATGGGAGTTTCAGGTGCAAGGGGAGCTGGTGCTCAATCAGGAGCTTCAGGTATGTTGTACTCAAAGCAAATTTTGTTCACTGCTTGTAATACATTGTCAGAAATTGATTATAATATATAGATTAAAGACGAATGAACTTCTCAGTCTTTATTTTCCTGTAAGAGTTTCGAAATTATGCATAAAGAAGTCTGGAAATATATTCGCTCATATTAAATTAAATGATTTATATAGTGGTTTGTGATTCGAGATGCATTTAGTATTAATCGCATTAGTTTTAGGTTTCCGAAATAGAAATCTTATACTATAGTTAAGGATTGCAGGGAATTATACATTTATGTGAAGTACTTGTTAGAAACATTCAGTGTTATATATTTGTTGGGTGTATTCGGGCTACTAATGGATTGTATGCACACTGAACTGATGATACATTGTAAAATATATTTTACCAATAAAACCCTTCACAGTTCTGAAATTTTCTGCAAATATATTCGTACAGCTATTCACAGTATCCCACAGTAAAATCAGGATGCGCATATCAAACTACTAAGGACGTTAAACGGAGCTCAGTACGAAGCGCATTTGGAGAGCGGAGCTAACTTGCAGTTATCACAATGGTGGGATATACAAGGTGTGTTCGAAAAGTTCGTTTAATTTTACCATAAAAAAAGAAACAAGAGAAACAAGCAAAATAGCTTACTGGCCTTCAAGCATTCGCCATTAGCAAACAATACACTTTGACGTCGGGTGTACAGTTGTTGGAAACTGTCTGCAAACGCTTCTTTCGGTGTGGCTCGAAACAGCGTTGTCACACGTTGTTCGATCTCAATAATGTCGGAAAAGTGTTGGCCTTTCAGATCTCCTTTGAGGCGGGGAAAGAGGAAGAAGTACGCGGGAGCCTGATCTGGAGAATATGGAGGGTGATCCAAAACTGGAACCTGTTGCCTGTCGAGGAATTGGGTTACACGGATCGCAGTCTGTGGCCGGGCGTTGTCATGTCCACTGTCCATTCCCGGTAATGTGGTCGAATCCGGCGTATGCGTAACAGCAGCCGTTTCAAAACTCCCTCGTAGTATTCCGCATTGACGGTTGTAGCCGCGGGTACAAATTCACGATGGATCAAACCCTTACTGTTGAAAAAGACGATCAACAACGTCTTGATCCTGATTGTGTCAACGAGGTTTTTTTTTGGGGAGGGTGCGACATTGAACACCATGCCATGGATTGCCGCTTGGTGTCGGATCGTATGTAGCACCACGACTAATCCCTGTAATTATTGTTTCCAAGAATTGCGGATTCCGGTCACACATCTCGATAAGATCTCCAGAGGTTTCCATCAGGTATTGCTTTTGCTCGTCTGACAGCGAGTGCTGTACAAACCGGGCGCATATCTTATGTTTATGCAAATGTTTGTGCACAATGGTGCTCACACTGTTTAGGCTTATCTGCAATTCGCCAGCTATCATTTTTAAAGATAGTCGTCGATCTGCCGCAAGCATCAGTCAAACTCGTTCCACATTGTCTGGAGTTGTGCTTGTCGTAGGGCGCCCCGACCGCGGTTCATCTTTGACATCCTCCTTTCCATCTGTAAAGCATTTAAAGCACTCATAAACACATTTTTTACTCACTGCTGTCTGATCGTAAACTTTCACTAAGATGTCATGTGTCTCCGTCGCCGTTTTCCCTAACTTGAAGCAAAACTTTATGTTTATGCGCTGGCTTCTCTGTTATAAACTCTCCTAAAACAGAGGCCTGTAATTACTTCTGTACAGTTGTTCCTTTTACCTTCTTGATGTAAGATAATGTTGGGAGTCTCTCATTTTTATGAGGTGTGGTCATTTTTAAAAATATTATTATAATTTTTTTTTGTGAAATGTATTAGTGCCGTTCTCAAAGGCCAGTTACTTATGTAAGGAACCTTTACATAAGGTTACATTCTTCAATAGTTGGCACTTATTGAAGAATAACCGGCGTACACTGTTAGGAACGTATTAGTACATAATTAACATTTCTTCAGGATCCCGGTTTTAGTGATTTTAAAAAGACAATTCATCAAAATATACCTAAAATATTAGAATTGAATTTTGTCCATTTTAGGTGCAATGGGAGTTTCAGGTGCAAGGGGAGCTGGTGCTCAATCAGGAGCTTCAGGTATGTTGTACTCAAAGCAAATTTTGTTCACTGCTTGTATTACATTGTCAGAAATTGATTATAATATATAGATTAAAGACGAATGAACTTCTCAGTCTTTATTTTCCTGTAAGAGTTTCGAAATTATGCATAAAGAAGTCTGGAAATATATTCGCTCATATTAAATTAAATGATTTATATAGTGGTTTGTGATTCGAGATGCATTTAGTATTAATCGCATTAGTTTTAGGTTTCCGAAATAGAAATCTTATACTATAGTTAAGGATTGCAGGGAATTATACATTTATGTGAGTACTTGTTAGAAACATTCAGTGTTATATTTGTTGGGTGTATTTCGGGCTACTAATGGATTGTATGCCACACTGAATGATGAACAAAAATATATTTTACCAATAAAACCCTTCACAGTTCTGAAATTTTCTGCAAATATATTCGTACAGCTATTCCATGTCACACTGACAATCATTCTCACACTGACTGTGTTAAACTGCTCATAGCGAGCGCTTATTCTTAATGTGTCGTACAATGGCCATTAGATGGCTCTAGATGACATTTCTCTCACTGCGTCTGCGTGAGTGCAAGATCCTAACCGGCGCGGTTTTTTAATTATGAGACCAATCACCGAACGTTTTGAACACAACTTGTATTATGAACTAACTACTAATAACAACTGAGAAACTGATGTTATCTCTCGTTTTATATACTTTTCTCTAATGCTTTCTGCTTCTCGAAATCCCTGGAAAGCATGTCAGGGCCGGCTACGTTTGCAACTAATACAAGCACCAATTACAGATATTCAATTACAATATCCATTTGAGTTATATAGGGTCCGGACCACAATGTTGCCAAATGGGTACCAGATTTGGAGGCGATTGACCATTTCCCTTCAAATTTGATGACAAAAGTCAGACGCCAATTCAGTTGTCAGTTTGTCATTTTATCCCAAAATTAGCGCGATAGCTATTTATTCAATGTTAAATAGACTTGACCCTGTGTTCTAAAATTTCCAGCAAAACATTTCTCTCATGCATTTCATGTTATATTATTATGCCGGAAACGAAAGGAATTCAACGTATAATTTCACTAAAATCAACCATCTATGTATGTACACATTTCATAGCGATAAGAATCATAGTTGCATTTCCAGTACAACAGCACCGACTAATATCACAGAAACGGTGCACATGTTTTCATATATTCAGCAAAAATTGAAGATATTATGTAAGCTCATGTCTAAAACCACTACTTTCGGCAATGAGTAAAGATCAATATTTTTAAATCGGATGTTTTGGTGTTAACAAATTTTTTCTTTCGGGAGGTATTTCACAAAACACTATTTGTGATAGATGGTTTTTTCTACCTTTAATGAATTTTCACAAACCTATACCGAATGGTTCCAAATTCATGGTACAATCTTCGGAGCAAGGTGCAGAAGTATGATATGAACAAAATCAGCATAGGAAACCTAGGTCGAAATTATTTATTGAGTCATAAATACGGGGTGTCGCACTTCAATTGAAACAAGATGTTTACAAGAACAGTACAAACTTACAAGCACAGTTCAAACTTACTCCCAACAGCGATGCTTGCTTAACAATATCGGAGTAGACACTTGTGTACACTACCACGTTTGCTGTGTTAACACTAAAATGAAATACATCTGACGTGAGAATCTCAGATGTCAAAAATATGAACAGATTATTTAGGTAGAGATTGCGTTTAAGAATATTAAACATGGAACATGTTTTTCAGAAGTTGAAACGTGTTCATGCAATCTTAATAATCAAAGCAAAAATTATTGTAAAATACCTGCTTATGATAAGCTGGCGAAACATTGTAAACACTGGTCGGGTTTGGGCTATGTACTGAAAAAAGCAATCCCAAAGTATGTCACAAATTTCCCATGTATACAACCAGAAATGCGATTGGAATATCTAGCTAAACAAGATATACCTCGTCAGGTAGAATACTGATGAACATTTGTAGCGATTATTTGCTTATTTTATCTAGTGTATCTAACAAGTAGAAAGAAACGTTTCTTTACACTTCTATACCCACAGAAGATGAAATAAATAGATGATTACTTGGGCGAAAATAAACCTCGATTTGAAATTTAATCTGAAATAGAAAGTATAAAAGTAACAAAAACAACATACAATTAATCAGCGAAGTATGCACAATTTAACTCGTCGCTTTTTGAAGGACAACCCGCATATGTCAGTAGCACGTATTACGTACGGCCGTAAAATGAACTCTAATTTATAGCTCTTTAGGTCTCCGTATTTAATCTTATGAAATAGAAGCATTTTAATGACAAGAAAACCTATAATATTCAAAGCTATAGCTCCTGCCCATTTTTTAATTTTAGGTGAATCCGGTGCATGGGGATTTGGTGTGGATTCAGGACGTTCAGGTACGTAGTACTCAAACCCATTATGTTCAATGGTTTTAATAAAATGTCAAATATTAATTCTACTGTGTATGTTAAGGACGAATGAAGTTTTCAGTCTTTATTTTCCTGTAAGAATTTCGAAAAAATGCATAAAAAAGTCTGGAAATATATTCTCTAAAATTATATTAAATGTTTTATATAGTGAAATATGATGCGGGGTCAATTCAGTATTAATTGCATTAGTATTCCGAAATTGAAATCTTATACTAAAACTAAGTTAAGCAAACATTATTGTCAAATATCCGCTTCTGATAAACTGCCGAAACGTTTTAAAGACTGGTTCAGATATGCCTAATCGCTGAAAACCGCATTGACAAAATATGTCACACATTTCCCAAGTATTTAAGCAGAAATGAGGCTGTAATGTTCCAGCTAAACCAGAGTTCCTCGTAAAGCCTATGAATACTGATGAAATTTGTAGAGACAATTTGATGAGTTCTTCTAGTATATGTAACAAGATCCAAATAAATGTTAATTTACCCTTTTATTTTAACCAAAGATGAACTAAATATACTGTTCCTTCTGCGACGTACAATAAACCTCTATTTGGGCTTTAATTTAAAATAGAAAATATAAATGCAATTAATACTAAACACAATTAATCAGGCAAAGCTAGAGTTGGCTCTTGGTGAAGTATAACTGGCGTATACGGGTAGAGTAGACTTTAAGGTATCCCTTGTATTATGGCGAAGTTGTTGTTTCATTTATGGTAGCCTGAGTAGTTGAATATTATGGAAACCCTATTGTGACGTAATCGGGTGCATGATTCTCTGAAATTTTGAATCATGGGATGTTTTGCAAGCGTTTTCTTGGTGTGTGTTAAAACCGTTTAGATGGATTTGAATGGGTTTGTAGGAAGAAAGGTTCAGATGGTCACTATATGAAGCGTTCAATCAGAGAGAGTAACTGGTTTCAAAAAAGTCATTTGAGTATGATTGATATTTTGATGTTTACATGGCTCTGCGTGTACGAAGCGAACTCGAAAATCATAGTAAGTGATTATTTGCTTTTGGTAGAGCTTAAATGTATAACATATTTTTACTTTTTCATGTTATTTAATTTTTGGTTTAAAATGTATTTTATTGAGATTATGTATTTTTTCTTTGTCTATATTGTAGACTTTGGTGCTCCTTTCACTTTTTAAGTGGAACTATATGGATGTATACATGGACAAAGTAAAGGGAGTGCGCAATGCAAGTTTGTGCAATTCTGGGATTTGTTTTAGGTGAAAATAGGTCGACGTGTACATGGCTAAAGTTAAAGAGTCCTCAATGCCATTTTTGTGCAATTCGTGGATTTTTTTTAAGTGAAAATAGGTCGACGTATACATGGATAAAATCGAAGACTGTGCAATGCCATTTTTGTGCAATTCCTGGTTTTTTTAAGTGAAAATAAGTCGATGTGTACATGGACACCGAGTTTGTGCAATTGTTTGTCTTGTTATTTTGGTTTGTGTAGCGGCAAATTTGCGCAAGCCAAAATAACGAGTCAAAGATTGCACAAAATCGGTATCCATGTACCGCCAAAAATCGCCATGTTTCGCCAAGGGGTACCCTAAACTATACTTTTACCGCGTATACTATTAGGTAGATATTACGTAAGTCCGTAAATTGAAAACTAACTTATAGATTTTCAGATCTCTACGGATTTATTCTTTTTAAAAACAACAATTTCATCACAATATACCTAAAGTTTTAAAATCGATAACTGCTGCATATTTGTTTATTTTAGGTGGCTCAGGTGCAATGGGATTTGGTGCGCAAGCAGGAGGTTCAGGTAAGTTGTACTCAAAGCAAGTTTTGTTGAATTCTTTTATTACATTGTCAGAAATTGATTATAATATGTATGTTGAAAGCGAATGAAATTCTCAGTCTTTATTTTCTTTTAAGAACTTCGAAATTATGCATAAAATAAATCTGGAATTATATTCGCTCAAATTACATTAAATGATTTATGTAGTGGATTATGATGCGGAATCCATTCAGTATTAATCGCATTAGTTTTAGGTTTCTGAAATAGAAATCTTATGCTAAAGTTAACGATTGCAGGGAATTATACATTTATGTGAAGTACTTGTTAGAAAAATTCAGTGTTAGATATTCTTGCGTGTATTCAGGCTATTAATGGATTGAATGAACGCAGAACTAATGATACATTGTAAAATATATTTTACCAAAAAAGCCCTTAACGGTTCTGAAATTTTGTGCAAAAATATACTTACAGCTATTCACAGTAAAATAATTAGGTGCACATCAAGCTAGTAAGGACGTGAAACAGAGCTGATTACGAAGCGCAAGTGGAGAGCGGAGCTAACGTGCAGTTATCTCAAAGGTTAGAGATATGATGAACTGACAACTAATAACAACTGAGAAACTGATGTTCTCTGCCGTTTTATATACTTTTCTGTAATGCTTTCTGCTTCTCGAAATCCCTGGAAAGCATGCCAGGGCCGGCTACGTTTGCAAGTAATACAGGCATCAATTACTGATATTCCATTACAATATCTATTTAAGTTAAACAGTGTGCGGATCAAAATGTTGCCCAATGG